CCACTCTATCTCCCCAAGGGGACTCATCACCAAACTCCAAATAGAAAAGTAATCAAGTTACATTAGCATGATGTTACTCTTACTTGTACATATATTCTCCATGGTTATGCAAAACAATAAAACATCATTTGGGAGATTCCTGATGTTTTGCTCATGAACAACCATATTGTTTTATGTTGCCCAAATACACCTAGTTTACTAATCTAATCTCAAAAAAGGAGCTGTTTCCATTAACAAGGATGTGCAGGTACAACTGCACCAGGAGCTCCAATTTTGTTTGCTTTTCATTTAATGTTTGTTGCAGTCCTAAGTTTCAGGGACTCTGCAGATAGGTGGCTTCTTTTGGCTGCAATCATAGGGCAAGCCACCTGTCAATTATCATTAGGTTCCCTGGTCCCGCCCCTTTTTGGGGTTTTGGAGGGAATAGGAGCCTTTTTGGTTCAGTTCTCACAGAGAAGCCTTTCGCACAGGACATAAAACGAAGAGCTCCTGTAGAAAGCTTCGTCTTCTACAGCTTGGCCGGGGTTATACCGCCCTACAGCTTGGCCGGGGAGAAAAGGCCCACAGCTTGACCGGGGTTGTACAGCCTTACAGCTCCTTTGCTGAAGAACATCAGTCAGCCATCACTGAAACCTGAACTCCTTTTTTTCCCCTGGAAGTCTACAAAGCTCTGCTTGGTAAGGGTCGCTCGCGGAAGCCAGACGCAGTTGGTACCGGGTGCAGGGGCTCCACGCCAACAGAGGCAAGTACAGACTGCCCAGATTAGAAGTTAAGGATTTCCCCATTAGTTAATTACAGTTAAGAAGATAGTGCCTGTTCCCAGTGAACAAGATTGCAAGAGCCAATAGACTGTTAAGAAAGCTTGAAAGTACCTGTTTGTTTTCATTAATAAAGAACATTGTTGAACCTTTAAGCAATCTAAAGACTCTGTTTGGGAGAATCCAAGGGTCTTTAATCTGAGGCAGCCCCGGCGTCCAGTTGGGCACACAGAATTTATGTCCTGTCTACAGTCTTATGCACAGGCCCAGTGTGCGACAGCACAAAGGATCTTAACAAAAAGGGAAGGAAAGTGTTTAACTTCTAGTTCAGCCAAGTAAGCTAGGAATTGCAAGCTAGCTTCAGACTGTGTCTCACTAGAGTAGGGCAGACTAGGAAACTTAATTCTGATGTAATGTCAAACATTTTCATCCTGGTGAGTTCCTGGGTGCAGAAGTTGCCTTTGTTGGTGGGATGACACAGGCAGGGGAAACCAAGTAGTGCATATTAACCCATTGGCTTTTAAATTGTAGTCTGGGACAGGCCCGTAGCCAGGATTTTGTTTCGGGGGGGGGCTGAATTTTTTTCAGGGGGGGTTTTGGGGGGGCTGAGTTTCGGGGGGGGGGGGCTGAGTCTGAGTGAAAGAGGGTCTAGCCTAGCAAACCTTTTGTATCATTACCCCAATACCCCCATGCATATGGGATATATTGAGTATGGTGATCAGATCATGATATGAATAAACATAACAGTTTAAATAATACACCAGTAAGGCCTTTTTGCGAACCACCATGAGAATTTCGGGGCCCCCTGAGCCCCCCCCCCCCCCGGCTACATGCCTGGTCTGGGATAACCTCTACTTTTCTGCAAATGCAGTCTTTACACATGTGTAAAACCCAGAAGTAACCAGGTTAAAGGTGTTCGGGTGACTAAATGACATTCAGCTAAAGTGTGGGAGGGATTGAGTTAAGAGGTAAGAAACACATGTTTAAAAAGTGTGCTTAGAAATTGATTCTGGCTGGAAAATGTGCACCTTTGCATGACTGTATAGTATATTCCTGCAGTCATGCAAAACACATGCTTTCCTTCGATACTCCTCCCCTCTGTATAGACGGCTCAAGTGCATGTGTGCTTTTAAAAAGCCCAAAACAGCTGATCAGCTGTCAAATGGACATAAAGGTGGTTCAAAGGAAGCACAAAGAGAAAGCAATCTTTGAAACTCTTCCTTTTACATGTTATAATCTTAAACAGAGATTAAATTAACAATTTAAAAGTTTCCCTCCATTATGTCCTGGACCTTATATGTCCTGAACCTCATATGACCTTATATATGCACATGCAAATCTGCTAATATTTATATTAAGATATTCATGTGTGCGCATATACAATCAAATGCAAAATGGAGAGAATTAGTTTTTTTAATAAAAAGAACAACTTCTGCCAGATGTTCCCCATTCACCCTCAATCTTGATCCACTTCAACAGAAGACTGCGAGGATGATGGGGGACCCTATCCCAGGACTGACAGGTTTGTGTATGGACCTCCAGAATACGATCACAGGCAAAGTCAGCAGGGTAGGATGTTAATGGGCTCCAGTATTTTTGTTTTTCCTACACCCTCTCCTTGAAATGGGGAACAGAAAACACAATAGAACTAGCCCCAAGTCAACAACACACCATAAGGCTTCTCAACAACTGCACGGACCTCCTGCCAAATCCTAGGATTTTTAAAGCCACATTTAAAATACGGATTTTGTTGCTGTCTGGATGTGCCCTTTATCTTAAACAATGACCTTAAACTATTGTTTCAAGTAGGAAAGAAAACTTGTAAGTAGTACAAGGAATGGTCTAAACACCTTTCTTCCCAGTACCTCTGACATCTTCCACTAGCACTCAGAAGCTACAAGAGAGATGACCAAATGAGAAAAAAAGTTGTTGTGGCTTTTTGAGCAAACGTTTGCAGACTAACTGACATAGGAAAATGAAATGACTAGACAATGGACTGGACAATGTTTAAACAAGGAGACACTAGTGATTTTTGTTTTATTGATTTGTTGTGGTTTTATATTATATATTAATGTTTTTAATTGTATTTATGATATTGTGTGCATTGAATTGTTGCCTGTAAACCACCTTGACTCGCCTGTGGGCTGAGAAAGGTGGTATACAAATACAGCAAATAAATAAATAGATAAATAAATAAATAAATTCTTTTGTAGGGAATAAAGCTACTTTGAAAGACATGAAGTTGTACTATTTTAAGTCATACCACTGGATTATCTCATCTAGTGCTGTAGACTCTAACTCAGTGGTTCTCAACCTGGCCCCCCCAGATGTTTTTGGCCTCCAACACCCAGAAATCCTAACAGCTGGTAAACTGGCTAGGATTTCTGGGAGTTGTAGGCCAAAAACATCTGGGGACCCCAGGTTGAGAACCACTGCTCTAACTGGTAGTAGCTTGCTGCAATATTAAACATGATTATTTACCAGCCTTACCTGGATTTCTGCTTATAGCACAGGTGTTTTATAGCCGAGCAACAACCCATCCTATTCTTTACATTATCTGCTTATTCAAATACCTTTATGGTACAATTTTTAAAAATCATGAAAGAAATATTAGTTGATTAGATGTTTTGGTCAATGAATTATATAATTAAATCTAGCTACAGTTTATTTATGGATAAATTAAAAAAGAAGATTTGGGATTCCAACATAAAGCTATTAAAATGACATCCCAATTGAGATGGGATGATCAGGAAGGACAGGACCATAAATGAGGATACTGACCTGACAGCAAAAGATTATTTATGACATAAATCATTATGAACCACAACAATAGACCTTAGACATGAATAAAAACAGAACATACAGCAAGCTATATGTCACTTGGGACATTATTTAGATAATGCAGTTCAAGCATTTTGTTTTTGTTCATTTCTAGCCTTATCACCAAAGAATGTTTTAAGCTAAAAATCATAGATTTCTCAGAAAGAGAAAGAGCTGAAAAGATAACGCTATTTATATGCTACAAAATGTGCAGAATGCTAACTAGAAATAGTTGCTGAGGACAAAAAACATTTAGATCAATAGAAAAGGATAAGGACTATTTTATATTTGCATGTACAGTGTTCCCTCACTTATCGTGGGTGTTACATTCCAGGACCACAATCCTATTTACTGTAAAATGTAATTTTTATGATTTATAATATACTTTTAGTGTTAGAATTAATATTTTAAATATAGTTTTATAAATTTTGTGGTTTTAAAATCAGAAATGCCTTGTCTGACTTACCAGGCAAGGGCTGTTGCGGCGGTGGATGCCCTCCCACCAGCCATCTGGTGGGAGAAGCCCCCTATGTGGAGCAAAGTTTCTTCTTCCCAGAAGCCCCCTATGTGGAGCAAAGTTTCCTGCCGCGTGGCCGGCTGGCCAACCAGCAGCTGGTCAACCAGAATTGGCCAGGGCCAGCTTCTCTACCTCACCCCAGCAGCCTTTGTAGGCTGCCCTTGGCCTCCGCAGAGCTCCATGGCCTCTGGGAGGATGTTGCTGGCTAGTTGTGCCAAACACTTGTTCAGTGCAGCTGGGCAGTGGGGATTCCATAACACCTCTGAGGTGGTCTAGGGAGTCCCCATCAGGCCACCAAGGAAACTCAAGCTGCCACCTGGGACACTGGATTAAGCCTGCATTGCTGGTTTATTTATGGAAGAGTTATATTATTTGATGGGAATAATTAACTGTGATCTCCAGAGTTTACTTAAGTGCACCTAAAACAGTTACTTTACTCTCAGCTCAAGAAAGGAAAATGGAATATCAGTGGACAACAAAACAGATTGAAAGATGGATTTAAAGCTAACCTTAAAAATGTGGAATAAACACTGAGAACTGGGAAGCCCTGGTATCATCTTATTAAGAGCTGAAATGGATTCTGTAAATTGGGGAAATCCAACTGAGAATGTGTTGAATGAATGACTTTCAAATGATCAGTTGTATATTATTAGATAGATAGATAGATAGATAGATAGATAGATGATAGATAGATAGATAGATAGATAGATAGATAGATAGATAGATAGATAGATCTACCATTGTGCAAGGCCAAATTCCGCCAAAACTGTAACTACCTGATATCTAGAGTGCATTGAATAGAGTCATCATAAGCAGCTGCCTTTTTATGTCATAGACATCAAAGGAATGTTTTTTTTACAAGGTTAACATAATACACAAAATCTTCATGAGAAAATAAGACTTACCTACAGTGAGTTGTCCAGTTAATTGTCCCACATGATTTCTTGCATTCACTGTAACATTTCTGTCCGACTGTAAGACCAGTGGACTATCCTGAGGAACATGTATAAGACAAGGAAATGAGAGGGAAAAAATACAGAGGAAGAGTCAAGCTATAACTATGAACTTAAAGCACAAGTATGTTGGCAAGGACTAGTTGAACCTGTGCACTTAATCAACTAAAATACTTCTAAGCTATGTCATAAATCTAAACTTGGAAGCTGCTCTCTCTCAAAATGGCATCTTTGTGAGAGCCTTTGACTTGCAAACTTGATACTATGGACCCTTCTACACAACCATATAAGCCATAATGTCAAGGCAGATAGTCCACAATATCTGCTTTGAACTGGATTATTTGAGTCCACACTGCCATATAATCCAGTTCAATGTGGATTTATTTTTACAGCTGTGTGGAAAGGGCCTAAGATGTGATGCCACCATGGAGCTGATCTGGTGACCTTTTACATTAAGTGGTCAGTGTAGATGTCCCCACATTTTCAGAGATACAACTACAACAGGAAAATAGACTGCTATCAATAGGCATCCAAAATATATAGGCAGGAGTAGTAAGAACCACACATATCTGTAAAAACCTGGCATTTTGTTGGAAGGCATAGCAACATCTCATTCTAAACAGCAGAATATGAGCTGAATGAAAGCTCTTGGAAAGATTCTGTCTAGTCTGCAAGGATACCTTTTCTGGAAACAAAATTTAAGAAAATGCCTTGTTTTGCTAAGATTTTTATGCAAATGGTGATGCTGCTGTCCTTTTTGCCTGGCTTAGAGGAATTTTGAGACCTTATTTGTTCTTATATTTCTGCTATGAACTCCTTCCAATCAGTTTGTGGTTTCTTTTATGGAAGCTGTAGCATTATTAGAAGCATGTGGTGAAAAGAACCTCAATAGTGACAACATAGGCCATGGAAAAGTGGATGGCAACTGTATTCTTATAGAAATATGAGTAAGTGTTGCTATAACTAAAAAAAAAAATTACAAAGGCAATTTTACTCCAGCTTTGAAATTAACTAACCTACTTCTCTACTAATTAAACTTTCTAACTATTTCAGGATTTTCACTGTTATTTTCTTTTCAAAGTGGAGGTGTACCCCCCTCCCCAATTAGGTAGCTTTGAGGGCCATACAGACAGAACATTGCAAAACCACTTTAGAGATTTTAAGAGGTGTTATACTTGTGCGCAATATATGAAGGAAATGATATAGTCCAGATCTTCTTAAGCCGTATAAAATGTACAAAGATCATGCCACATAAAGTCAGAAAGGAAAGAAAGACTTTGGGGAAACAGTTTTTTTTTCAAGCAGCACCAGGGCATAGAGTACGCATCCCATCCGAAATCCAGTTTCTGCCTCCTGCAGAAGTCTGAGGCTTGTAGTTTAGAGGAGTGGCCTTTAAAATACTCAGCCAGAGATGTCCTGGGTATCATTAAACTACAAGCCCCAGAATACTGCAGAAGACAGACACAGGGTTTCAGATTTGATAGATCATCTTTGCCTACTCATTCAGCTGTAGTGTGATATAGCACAAGATTCAGAACTGTATCTTCCTTAATAGTAATGCTTGGATTGTTGCTATCGACAGTAGCTGTTCATGGAGGCAGTTTGCTAATTGTCGAAGGCTTTCATGGCTGGAATCACTAGGTTCTTGTGGGTTTTTTTGGGCTATAGAGCCATGTTCTAGAGGCATTTCTCTAGAACAAGTCAGGCGAAACGTCAGGAGAAATGCCTCTAGAACATGGCTCTATAGCCCGAAAAAACCCACAAGAACCTAGTTTGCTAATTTCTTTACTAGGTCTTGCTTCAGGTCTTATACACATGTGGTATATTAAATTATTTCTTTCCCTCCTTGGGGCATCTACACTGTAGAATTAATGTAGTTTGACACCACTTTAACTGCCATGCCTCAATGCTATGGAATCATGGAAGTTGTAATTTTACAATTTTTTTAGCCTTCTCTGCCAAAGCATGTTGATGAATCCAATCTGTTTCACTAAATTACAAATCCTAGGATTCCATAGCATTGAACCATGGCATTTAGTGCTGTCAAACTGTCTTAATTTTATAGTGTAGATGAGTCCAATCTGTCTCCCTGCCATTAATCTCTAGCTAATATGTGTTTACTATGTTTACATATTTTCTTTTCATTCAAAGAGCTCAAAAAAGCATGCAGTGTTCTTCCTCTGCGCATTCTCAGATCAACTCTGTTAAATAAGTTACACTGGTAAAGCATGATTTACCCATAGTCACCAAGTAAATCCCTAAGCGTCATGTCTCAAATGCTACAACAATGGTGTGTCGGGTGAATCTTTGCAGGAAGAGCTACATGTCAATTGTACATTGCTGTTATGAGAATTGCTATGTTGTTCAACTGAATGCACATGTGGTATGGTGTTTCTATGCCCTTTTTAAAGTAAATGTACATTGGGCAAAAATGGCCAACCACTTCTGTTGTGAAATGTATGCATTTCTAATACAGGAACTTGAAGACAGCCAACAACAAAGTACTAACAGCTGATAATGAATTTCAACCTGACTCTTCACAATCCTATCTTAATGCTGTAACCATTACAGTTGTCGTTTCTGATTTATGGTCATACTGAAGTGAACCAATTAGGGATGTTAATTTTTTTGGTAGTAAAATCAAATTTGTTAAATTCGTATGTATGATGCAATACCTGACACATGGTTGTGGCACGTGCTAAAAACTTAAGAACCAAAACTTATTCAATGCTTTTTTTTGTTTGCATTTTGTAAATCTCAGAAACCTCTCAAAGTCAGTTTTATTTTCAGCACACGGAAGCAAAGCAAAGCCAAAAAGGCTGCCTTTCCTCTTTAAATTAATGGCCTCTCGCCATTAGGAGAGGGAAGCAGAAGGGAGAAAGCAGAGAGGACTCAGAAAGCACAGAATTCGGGGAAATGTAATTTGGGGAGGCAAGGAGCCGTATGCCAGAAAATTCAAAAGACCCTGCCCTAAACTACATTTCCCAGAACTCTGCTCAGCATTAGAAAGCCCTAATCAGGATAGGGGAGAGCTATTTTCCCTTCGTAGCAGCAAGCAGTCCGTGTTCCAATAAATTGTTGAATCTGCAAAGAGGAGGACTGGCTGATACTTCTAGTAAGTAAATTTCTGTGCTGGGCTGGGAAGAAATCCCTAAATGGAAGTTCTATTGCTTGATATGAAAGACATTCAATGAGATAGCTGTTGTTGCTTTTAAAAAAACATTTTTGTAAAAAAATTTAAAAATCCCTAAAATCAGTAGAAGTATTAACATTTCTGAAAGTTGGGGGGGGGGGGATGTTCCCCTAACATCTTGTGCATTGTACAGAAAGGTCAAGAAGATTGCTGTTGTAGTTTTTTAAAACTATGTTTATAAAAACTTTGAATATTCCCCAAAAATCAGTGGACAAGTGAAACATTCTGGGACGTATTGGACTAACAGTGGTAAATGTGTTCTACCACTGTAGCACATTTCACCCCAATAGCTATAAAACTGTGGGAGAAAAGAGCCCTTGAAGTTTTCCCACTTTCACAATTACTATAACAAAAAAGTAACAAAATTTCATTACTCTCATTATAGTAACAAAAGTTTTACTAACAGCACTTTAGTAACACTTTAGAAAAAAAACATTTGCACCCCCAAATTTTGTAATTAGTTTTAAAACGTTTTTATCAATTGCACATGCCTAGAACCTATTATTGGATTTTATTGGATTTGTTTGGAGCCTTCCTGTATGGGTGACATGCCCCAGGTCATCCATGGATTTCAATGGTCAAGAGGGATTTGGACCCTGATTGCCTGTATTCCAACTTTCAGACCATTACACCACTCTGGTTCTCAATCAGTATAGCAGATTCAAAAATATCTCACTACTTTCCTGAGCACAACATACTCAAAGAAGTATTCATCTGCTACATAAACCCATCAACTCATTGAGAAAGATCACACATCTTCTGCTGTTTGATTTAGAAATGTGTTCTAAACATACCAAGAATCTCACATCCAGTTCTGGCTGTGCTTACAAGGGTTTCAAGGAACTGTAATTTTAAAAAAGGTAACTTTTCTGAGCTCTTAGAAGCAGCATGTTTATGCAAATGTGATATTAAGGAAAGGAAGTCTTTCTCAACACACTTTTTGGGAAAACATGCCAATTATTTGATAGAACAAAAGAGAATGTTAGTCTGATGTGTTGCTGTGCCTTTAACAACAATTTGGTATGAAGAAATTAGTAGGCAAAGGTTTTGATAACATGAGAATAAACATTAGACTAAACCTGCTAATTGCTGCAGATCAAATTGATGGGGCATGTTTAACAGTTGCCATGTCTAGTCTCATACTGTATCAGATTATTCCTCCAAAAAATGCATATTTCATGCCAAATGAAGCTTGAATCTAGCTATGTCAACATAAAGTTAAAATGTTTAACTCCCAGGAGGGTGAGGATGTGAAATTCATTGCTGGTGCATCACTGCTTACAGAAACTTGATAGGATCTAGGCAAGTGTGATCAATAATTATTTTTTCAAAAGTCATTACAGAATTAGGGGATGCTGGTGTTTCATTTCTAAAGTATAGTTAGTGAAATTTCATTACTATAACAAGAGTAATGAAATTTTGTAATTTTTTGTTATAGTAATTGTGCATAATTAATATAATTGCGGAAACTTCAGGGGCTCTTTCTTTCCTCATTTTTACAGCTTTTGGGGCAAAACTTGCTACAATGGTTGAATGCATTTACCATCGTTAGCCCATCAAGTTCCAGAATGTTTAACTTATCCACAGATATTTGGGAAATTTTCAAAGTTTTTATAAACAATACTTTAAAAAAACCCTACAAAACCTATCTTCTTGATTTTTCTATACATTGACACAAAATAACAGGGGATCATTCCCCCTAACCTTCAGAAACATTTATATGTCTTTTGATTTACGGAATTTTAAGAGTTTTGACAAAAATGTTTTCTTTAAGCAACAACAGCCATTTCATTGAATGTCTCTCCTATTAACCAATAGAAACCAATATTAAATAATTCTACATTCTC